TTTTTTCCCCCTCACCTTTGTGTGGAAAAATGCGGGGGATTATGCGGCCTTTTGATAAATATGCGGCCTTTTAAAAATCTGCGCCATTTTGCTGAAAAAATTATCGCAGAATGGCGTTTTTCTGGAGGGTCTAAGATAAACATATACAATAATCCTCTTCCTGCTGAATAAATAGATCAACATGGTTATAAGTAAACATAAGAATAAGGGAATTGGATAGCTGCCCCATTAAGACTGCTAACCTTAAATATTTTTGTTAACCTAGGGCACATGTGTCAAACTCAAGGCCCGGGGGCCAAATCAGGTATCAAGTATCTGCTTGAACTAGCATCACAGAGCAGCACACTGAGTTTACATGGATGTTTCCTTCTGCACTTTGTTTCTTGAGACAACAGGGCATGTTTGGTTTTTTCTTTGAGGGAAATGTTTTTTTTGAAGCTGTTGTTGGCCTGTGGAAAAATGTACTCATAAGAAATGACTCTGGAACAGCTGCAGATAGAGCCATAAGAAATTAATGCAACTGCTTATTTAATGTTTAATGTTGTTTTTAAAGGCAATGATTTAAGCTTTGTTAGTTCCAGGTTTAATATGTGCAATAAGTTCATTTCAATAAGTTTTGCAATAAACATTGAACCAGTCCGGCCCTCGACTAGTACAATTTCTTTTATTTTGGCCCACTGTGTATTTGAGTTTGACACCCCTGACCTAGGGTATTGATGGTGACATCATCAATTATTGACTCTGTTATATTGGCATTCGTATCAGCCCTTCAAATCCAATATGAGTGGGACTGCATTGAGCACACACTGCATACACAACACACATCACACCATATGGAATACGTTATTGTATCTGCTTATCAGACTCTTGGTTGCAGCTGTTTTACCACATCTTGCTCTTATTCCGAACCACATCTCTCCTGCCCTTTCCTGTCTCCTCTTCCCTTATCCCCCTTCTCCCTTTTCATCCCACCTTTTGATACCACCCTCACGCCTCCTCCCGCTCCACCCTTTCATAATCTTATCCTCCGCGTCAATGCTCCTTCCCACTGTAAGGATAAAACGCATCTGTGCGATTTGGTTGTGTTCCAGCTGATGGCTTGCATAAGACATACTCCAACACAATACACCAACACACATTATACTTTCATAACACGCCAATGGACTGCTGTTGGGAAGACTATTGATCTTAAAATAGATGAGTGACTGTTCATGGACATATAAATGATGCAGATCATCATATCATATTTTATACTCTATAAAACTAACTGTGTGTTACATATGACTTGTATATTTAGGGCTGGTGCAGGAGGTAAACATATTTTTGTGATGTGTTCTGCAGTGACAATATTGCTGTTCTCCGGGGGGGGGATGCCCCGCGGACTCGAGATATGTTTTGGATGATCTAAAATCCCAGAGTGGAAAAATCTGAAAATGATGTGACACACACTTCCCCTCCCTGTGTTGCCTGCTTCACTGCGTTGCTCATTTTAATAATTAGTAAGTGCAATGTATTTTTAATTTCTTCTCTGATTGTGGTTCCTTTATGCATCATTGCTTCCCTCTTTCTCTCTGTGTGTCTCTGTGTGTGTGTCTCTCTCTCTCTCTCTGTGTGTGTGTGTGTGTGTGTGTGTGTGTGTGTGTGTGTGTGTATGAGCATGCACGTCACCCATAAACTAATATTGCTGAAGTATTCCCTCAGGCTCGAGAACAGGGAATCAGCTATTGACTCTCTCCTCCTTCATTAGAAGAATGACAAATCACTATTTCATTGATTCCTCTCTTTAACCTTTGCCTCACTTGATCTCTAACATTGTTCTCTGTCCTTCTCTGCGCTTATTTCTTCAATCTCCACCTTTTCTTCCTCCCATTTCTGCCTTCCTTATGTTCCTTCCATCCCGACGTTCCACTTTATGGACCCATCAGGACTGCTATTCTCATTTCTCTTTCCAGACCTTCTGCTTCCTCCATATCCTTTTTTTTCTCTCCTAATTTGCCATTTCACTCCTCTCTCTTCGACTCAGAGATTTACAGTTTCAATAGTTAGGGAGGCCACACATTGCATGACCTTACAGTGACGTCTTGTTCTGTCTACTGCGGGAGAAACATGATTTGACTTAATTTCCATCTCAGACCCTCACACAGCAGCACCCATAACGAGTATTTCTGCAGCACAATGATTTCGTGACTCAAGAACACAAAAAGTAATTTAAAAGGTGAAGCCAAGCTGTTATCAACAACAAGCAATGAATATGACTTCGGTCTGGAAATAAATAAAAACAACTCAAATCTAGTGAAGCAATGAAGATAAATTGTAAACAGCTTGCTGTGTTTCCTGTGTCCTTGACATTGGTCCATTACAGTGGGAAGACGCAATTCAAAACACCTCAAAGTAACTAACTCATTTCCGGCCAAAAATGTTCTTATATTCAATAAGAAAACATGAAACAAAAGCCAAGCATATTTCAATCAAACAACACAACTTAAATGTGACACGGTTTAACCTTAATTTGTCTGTTATTCTATGCCATTTGTTGATCCTTTTCATAGTATGTGCCAAATACGGCAAACAAGAATTCCAAAATTTGAAAAGAGATTATAAAAACCTGCTACACTTATTTGTGAGATGAAACGCGTCATCTGCAGGAATAAGGTTAATCCAATGTGTCCGTCACTTTGAAATGATTTCTGATAATCCATAAGCAATAAACCTGCTTTTCCTTTTCCAGATGTCAGAGCGAGAGATAGCTTCGCTCTCATGCAAAACTGCGTGCGCATAGCTCTCATTTCTCAATGGTAACGTGTATGTGGAAATTCCCCTTCGATTCTATTGGCTCTAACGGTTAAAAAGAGATGTCAATCACCAAAATCGATCAATGGGTTCCAGAGAAACGGTTAAAACGGCCATTTCCAACCAAAGTTCTTTTTGTCTAAACCTCTCTAAAAAGGTCAAATGTCACTTGTTTTCCATCAATCTTGATAGAGGGTACTTTTTTGTGCTTTGGATTCCTAAAGCTTTAGTCTATCATACCATCATCCAAGGGTAGTTTTCACTATAATAAAAAAGATTTTTTGGACGGACATTATAATTTACAGTTTTTTACTATGTTCAATCTGAATTTTCTTTCAAATAAAAAACATCTATATTGATTTTGACTTTTCTACAGCCAACTCCCAGGTTTATCATTACTTTTAGAAAAAAGATTAT